ATATGCCTCACGATTGAAGAATAACAACACAGGTGAGTCAATTCATTTAAAGTGTATTTACTCAGTCCCACATTTCAGATATATATATTCTTATTGTTTCTTCTCACTCAGTGTCACAAAAGTATTAGGTTCCTGAATTCCCAACAACAGTTAAACACCCTCAAAAAGTCTATATCCAGTGCCGGGGTTTTATTTTAATAATCACGAGTGTAAATAACCTAGTTCCCCGAGTGTAAATAACCTAGTTCCCCGATATACAAGCAGAAGGCTATTCCCTATTCCCGCCAAAAAACAAACTATTTAACAATTAACTTTTAGTAGGTTATTTACAGTTCCCTTTCTTTAATATCATTACGCTACTAAAAATTTCAACCCATGATTTTGGCACCTCCTCTTCCTTCAGAATTTTATTGAATAAATTCTGTATATACATAAACCAATTAGGGGGAATATTATTGTATATTTCGTGTGGGACACCATCAAGCCCTAGGCTTTTGCCATTTTTAACTTTGTTTAGAGCCCTACCTATTTCCTCAGAAGATATATCTCCATCTAATAATGGATGTCGACTGTCAATAAAAAATGATTGGATGACAACCTAGGTGGATACATCATTTTAGGAAACCTCTCCCAATCCCCTATAGAAATGCTCTTGGTCTATAAATGGTCTGCCTCTTAATCTTTTATAATACATCAATAAGTTGAACTATCATTCGTTTTTCCGAGAATTTTAATCGTATTTAAATTATATTTTCTTTTTTTCATTTTCACAAAATTTTTATAATGTTTTTCAATTTTAGAAAATCAAATAAGAATTTATCCATAAAATTATTTTTCTTATATATTGTAACATCTCTCTTATATTTTACAAATAATAATAATATAACCTCGGATGATCACTTTCTACCATTGGGGTACTTCCTAAATAAATAAGAGGTTATTAAATAATAAACACAATTTTTTTTTTTTCGGTTGGCGCTACAGACCAAGAAGATCTTTGGCCGCGAGATGTGCTCTCCTTACAGACGTGTGATACTTGCGAGAGCTCAGATAGCCTGGAGGGGGTCACCCAACCTCACATTGCTACGAACCTTGGTGCAGCGGCAGGCCACCTGTAGCTCCATAGCCGATCTCTTTGCGGCCAATCTGGCAATGTCCTTCCCACCGACTTTCTCGGTTTCAAGGACAGTGACAAATCGGTCTAGATCCATGGATTATGGCTGCACGGAGTCAGCAGGTGCACGAGGACCTATATTTCTTTCCCCGTAACAGACCGTCCATGGACCGAACCTCAGGGAGGCTATTAACATCCTGGTAAACCACATCCCAATTCCCGATTTAAGTACACGGGGTAGGGTCATCAGTCATACGCCCGGTCGGTGTGAGTTGCCTCCAGTAGGCTGACGGGCCTCACAGACTCGGGGGGAGGGACTCGGGCAGCATGGCTTTACCTGGTGGACGGTCACCCATCCAAGTACTAACCACGCTCGACGTTGCTTAACTTTAATTACCTATTGCAAGCACCTTGGCCCTCACGGCTACCCCTGCCCCCTAAACAAAATTATAAGAGTGTTAATGTATTTATTTATCTCAGCTGTGGGTTACTGACAATCAGATCAACTCAAACTATTATTATTATTTACACTATTTATACTTAAATTAAAATAAAGTCACGTATGAATTGGCAAACTAACCTTTTTTCTATATACACTGTTTCTTCCTTTGTGTCATTGAATTCATTTGTCTTCTAATATTATCCTATGTTCTGGCAACACATCTTCCAAAATGGTAACACTTTCATCTATTCAGCTGAAGATCCCTGGGAGATTCTCTCTCTTGTAATTCCAAACAACTATTCTTCCTGCCAAACAAGAACTTCTAAGATGGTAAAACTATTACTGGGTTATACCCACTAAAACCAGGATCCCTTCTCCTATCCTCTCTTCACTGCAGCCACACAACAACTTGCCAAAACAAAAACCTTTGTCCCTCTCCTCTTTGGGATTTTCCTTCTTGGGAAACTACAGAGTAGCCATTTTCTTTTCCCTGCACTAGTAGAACTACATTAGCTTGCCTTTTAATTGTTGAACATTAATTTATTAAAACATTTTTATTCACTCCCAATAAAGGTGTACCTTACAATATAGAGGAACAATTCTTCAGCTCAGTTTTAAGTGCCTTGCATTCATTATCATACCAAGGTTAATTCCTATTAATGCCCCGTTTGTTAAATTCAGTTAAACTTTTCATTATATTAATTTCTTTAGAGATTCTGAAAACAGCATATATAAAATTTTCGTATTAATTCTTCAACAGTACTGGTTTTAAAGTCCACTGTGATTAATGGAGAAATCAGGAAACTACTTTTAATTATTTCTGATATATTTTTATCCCATTTAATAAGGTTTCTTTTATAGATGTTATTTTTTTTTTTATTCACGATAGACTTTGAGTACACTTTTAAGTCTAATGGGAAATGATCAAAACTGGACAATACTTGTTTAACTTGAAAATCACATATTAATTTTTCACACCATACAAAATCAATGACACTCGATCCATTAGTGCTACAGTGAGTATAATTACCAATTAAATCACTGGGAGTTCGGCCATTTAACACTATAAAGAAATTAAGTTCCATAAACTCAATTAATATTTTCCCTCTTAGATTTAATATGATGTCTGAATTTTTTCGAGTTGTCAAGAGGCAATTGTCATGAAAAATTTCTGAAGAGCATATATATAAATTACTGATTCTAGAATTAAAGTCCTCTCCCAAATAAATTGGAATATTTTCATGTTCTCCTCTGATACCGTCTATAATAATTTCTATTTTTTCAAAAAATAAATTTACATCTAAATCAGGATTAATATAAACAAAGCCTACAATTAATTTTAAACTATTCTTACCAACTAACAAAAAAATATTGTCTCTATTATTACATAAAGTATTTACAGAGCATTTGTCTTGATCATAAAAAAAAAACCAAGCCACCAGGGACTCTGCCATGTTTATACCTCCTAACAGCTGGACTGTAAACAATTCCATAAATTGATGTCCAACTAGACTTAGCTCTTATTTCAGTAGTTACATGAGTTTCAGAGAGACATATCACATCGTACTGGGCCAAGTATTCTTCATGTTTAATAAAATTTTTATATCTGTTAATATTTTAAAATAAAATATTAAAATATACAAATCAAATATTAAAATAGAATAGAATAGAAAATAGAACTTTATTCTGGGACTAAGTCACCTTATAATAACAAAGACGAATTAATACAAAATAAAATACAGATCTGGGCAAAAACTAACTTATAAAAATTCTAACATTATATACATTATTTAAAAAGCAGTATGTAACCACTAAGAAATAAACAAAAAAAAAATATATACATATAAATGGACATACAATCTTCTCAAAATTACTTATTATTGTGATGAAAAAGAAATTACATATCTATATATACATAACTGCACAATTTATAAACAATAGGCTATCTAATAGAAAAATAATTTATCAATATATCAAAATAAAAATAAAATATTATTCCAAGGTTCTTGATGATGGAATAAAATTTGATGGGATTATCATGTAAGAACAGGGTTAGAATGTTAAGAACAGTTTTAAGGAGGTGATTGGAGCCTATTAGGAGTGCCTTCATCTTACAGATTTTGTTCAAGTCTTCTTGAAGTTTTTTGTTGCTAGTAATAAGTCAGAAGGCGGAAAGGACATATATATTTGGAAATCCATTCCTCACGTCTCTCAAATTTCTTTTCACCTATCATTTCAATGGCTGATTCGCAAATAGTATCCTTTAACATCCTCCATTTCTCTCCTATTGATTTATTTCTCCATTGATATTCACTGCTCAGTTTACCGTCCAGCTTTTCATTATATTTGTCTCTTTCATCCTCTTTTAACAGGTTTTCGGTATTCCATCTGGTACATTTAACTCTTTTGGGTTTCCAGACTATTTTTATCTTTTGTCTGTACCTTGCTCTATTCTAGTAACGAAATATTTCTCAAACATTGTTCTTAAAGTATTGCAGAATCATTATCAATAAATATTAAACATGATCAATATATTTCAATATGCTTCTATACATTGTTACTAATTGATTCTTCACTTTTAGTCAGTTCTGACTTTGCAATAAGAGAAAATATCACTGATAGCAACAAGGTCCTGCTCCAGGTTCCAGGTGCCTGTTACTTCCCACTGATGTCATTAAACATGCTTTTCATTTTGTTTGTACCAGGAACATTTGTCCAACAATATCGCTAGGCCTCTCTATGCTGGTTCAAAATTTAGTTATTTCTCTCATACTCTGCAGCTCCTGTGAGCAGTCTTTCTCTAGCCGAGCCCACTAAATCTGGACTTCTGTTGAGCTCTGCTTAGCATCTCGCTCATTTCCTATAATTCCCCAGTCTTACTTCCATTGTGATCTTGCAGGTAGTGATCACCTACATCTCTTGCTTTCATTGCAAATTGACCCGTTCCTTCCACAGTCTATTGGGAAATGGAGGATAGACAAAGGCAATTGGGAGAATTATACAAAAGCTTGTAGTGATAGCTTTAGGCATTTAGAAATTTCCTCATTTCAATTTGATTTGCCTCAGAAATTATTCAAATTGCTAGCCTAACCTTGGTGGACACCCGAATGTCGTGCTGCTTTGACGAAACGGCATAGAGCTTTAAAAATTTTAAAAACTCGTCCATCATTAAGTAATCATATCAATTACCATAAAGCCAAGGCAAAAGCGGGGTGGATTGTCAACCAGGCAAATACAATGTAGCCTACCATAAAATATCATAAGTGTGTATGGTCAATTAAAAATCAAATTATTAAATAACAATAACAAATTTAAGCATTATCTCCACATCTTGACACAATTGCATCATAAAAACTGTGAATATTTCTTAGTACACTTATGTAAAAACTAGTTGGATTATTATATATAATATAATGGATTAAAATCAAATAACATATTTAATAGGAAAGGAGGCCTTCTGATGAACAACATTCTAGGTATAGGCGGAGCAGTTCTAATGGGCTTTGCAAAGGTGGCACATTCCTATGAAATGTTGTTTTTTGGAAGATTCATTATTGGTGTTAACTGTGGTAAGTCTATAAGTTTGTTTTCACTAAAATATCAATTCAATCAATCAATTACTTTTTTTAATAAAATATATTTTTTTTATTCATTTATAGGACTGAATACATCCCTTGTGCCTATGTACATATCCGAAATCGCCCCCCTCAATCTGAGAGGGGGGCTAGGAACTGTAAACCAGCTAGCAGTCACTGTCGGCTTACTTATATCTCAGGTTCTAGGTATAGATGAAATTCTCGGAACTGATGATGGCTGGCCTGTTCTTTTAGGTATATTATATGCACTTCTATATCAAGGGTGGTGATGCAGAAACACATTCTCATAGTTTGTGCATAATTAAGAAATATACCATAGTTAAATAGTGTTAATATACATATAAGTTCTTACACTGCAAGAACGATGTAGATAAAACTACCCAATTCCATTGCTAATGATCTTCTTATGGTTTGTAGATTATTAAACTTCATAACCTCTGGGAAAAAATATTTGAAATATGCATGTTTATCACTTAACTGAGCCTGAAAAAACACATCTTATGAGCTCCCTCATCTACTTATTTTTGTCAAAAACTGAGTGAGGCTGTGTAAGAACTTATAAGACAATTTAATGAACTAATTGACCAAATCTATATATTTAATACAGTTATTTTTAATATGCTGAAAATATTTTATAGTGTTTTATTTACATTCTTAACTACTTTTCACTAGCATCTTGTCATTTTCAAGTAAAGTTAAAATAAAATCAGAAAATTTCTTTTGTTTTTAAATGAGACCTATGATAAATTCAATTTTTCTATACTCCTCAAGGTCTTCAGATTGAATAAAAAATAGAATTGACATATGCACACAGACACACTATAAATATAGGTTATTCCAGCAGTTTTTATTAGCAAACTTAAAAACGAGCTGTTGGACTCCGGTTGGTAGGACTCATGATCAATAGTTAGCTTTAGCAACTAAAAGCCACCTTCTCTCAGTATCCATAATGTGGTTTTTCCATCTGTTTGGAAGTGATTTAGAAGTGTTTGCATCACAATAAATCGCTCTTCAGTGGGAACTTTCTCTCTCAGTCCGCCTGAACCTGGCCTTTTTGAGTTTTTTTTTTTTTTTTTTCTTGTTGGCCCAAGACTTCCATTAAAGTCCTATACTGCCCCTATTGTTATATTATAAAATAATGAAGATAATCTTGTTGAGTTATCAGTCTCCTTCTACCTTAGAACTACTCTATGAACGATAGTTTCCAGTAAATAGTTGACTTTTATTTAGTGGCAGACCCACGGAACTCGATCTTTCTACTCCTCTGGTTATAATAGGTTTGATTGTACCTCTAGAACAATTTCTCCCAATGGAGGTAATCCAATAAAATAAAAAGTTCACAGTAAATCTAACGCCCTAAGAGGTTAATATATATAGTAGTGATAGCAGACCCTAAGATCTGCAAAAAAATTTATAAAAATATTAGTCCGATTTTCAGCAGAAAAGTAGCAAATTCAAAGTTTGCAGTTTTTTAAGTAAGTCGTGTGTTTTTTTTTAATAGAAAGCGATAATTTCAAAAATACTTAATTTAAGTAATTACCAATTGCTTCAGTGTAAACTAGACAAAATTTACTTCAAATGAAAGTGGAGTTAGTCAATGTTAAAACTGTTTAAAGTGGATGTCTGAGCGGCTAAACAAAGCTAAGTTTTGTTTTTAAAAAAATTATTAAGTATTCTCAATTTTTTTTATCATGTTTCAACAATACTACAGATATGCCACTTTTATAAAATTTCCTCATTTAGTTAGCTTTAAGTTTATATTAATTAAGTTGAGGTTTACTAGACCAAAAATTGAGATCTATATCAATTTATGTAAAAAATAATGTGATTTTATTTGCAGTCACCTAAAATTACATGTATTTTCAGCAAAAATTACTTCAATAAATTGTTGCAAAGCTTTTATTTCTTTTTTTTCATGACTTGGGGTGTATTATAATTAATATAAATGCATAAAAATACTTTCTATTTCTAAAAAAAATTGTTGAAAATAATAATTTTTCTTCTAAAGTGATAATGACACTATGCTTTTCACCCAGATCTCTATTGTAGAAATTGATTCATATTTACAGGTGACAAACTTAATGTTTATATTTTAAAAAAATGTTTGTTGAAAATAATGATACATCAAATATTTTTCATATAAGTGATTATGAAAATGTGATTTCACCAAGATCTCTATTACAGGAATTCATCAGCATCTATAACTTATGAAATAAATGTAACTTGTCGTAATATAAATGTTTAAAATAAAGAAACCTTCTGATTGCTTCAATAATTTTTATGAAAACGTAAATATTAGGATTAGGAACATTAAGTTTGTCACCTGTAAATATGAATCAATTTCTACAATAGAGATCTGGGTGAAAAGCATTATCACTTTAGATGAAAAATCATTATTTCCAACAATTTTTTTTTAGAAATAAAAAGTATTTTTATGCATTTATATTAATTATAATACATACATACCAAGTCATGGGAAATAAAAAACAGACGTTTTGCAAACGAGTGCTCACTTAAGAAAATTACAGTGATATATACTGGACACTGTAAACTGAATTATCACATTTTCAATCTTCGGCCCTGAGAGTCATCTCTCTGTAGGTACTGTGGCCAGGAGGATGAAACAGCTTATCATAACACTTTTTGGTGCGACAGGTTTGCGGGACTAAGATTCCAACTATTCGTTATTGATAGGGTGATTGATCCCTAGGCAAACAAGCTCATCAATCCAACAAGCTTACTACAGTTCACTGAGACTGCAGGAATTACACTCTAAATAGGAGTGACTTCAATAGAGGCGTATTATAGGCCTTCATGCCGCTTTAAAAAAAAAAATTAGGATGTTTTTCTAAAAGTTATCTGTATTATAGTTGGAGCATATAACAAAAATTGTGAATAATAATTTAATATTTTTTTAAACAGAACAGCTTAGTTTTCATTTTAGCTTAGTTTAGCTACTTTCATTTGAAGTAAATTTTTTTACTGTGCGTAAGTAAATCTAGTTTACTGTGCTGTGAAGAAATTGTTAATTACTTAAATTAAATGTTTTTTTAGTAATTACCTTCTATTCACCAAAAATCTGACTCCTAAATAACCTGAAAATTTGAATTTGCTACTTTTCTGCCGAAAATCGGACCAATATTTACATAAACTTTTTTGTAGATCTTGATGTCTGCTATCACTCCTATAAATATTTCCCTCTACTTACAGGACACCCTGTATAACACTGGCTTCTTCCATCTTCCAACAACAACAATTTTGTGTTCATCTGTGTAGATGGTTGAAACCATTTTGAGGTAACAGAAAAGCTCAAAATATCTTAGAAAAGCAAAAGAATTTTCTAACTAAGCAAAAATAATTCTTTTGGAGGTATAGTGTTCTCACAAACAACTGAATATAAACTGATGAATGAATCATTACTATTCCTAAGGCAATTATCACTAAACTTAGATGTGACCAATATATGGAATTATTGATATGAAAAACTTGACTAACTGTTATTTAAACTGCAGCATAACAATGATAAGCTCAAAACTAATAAATATTTGTCAAAAATTTCAAGGGTTTTTTATTCTTTTGTGTGTTTTTTTTTTGTTGTGCTGGAATTTTGTTTAGTTTTCTGTTTAATTTCTTATACCACAATAGCATAACACATTTTTGTACAAACAGGCAGACTATACTGATTTAATCATCATGAAAACAAAATTTAATTTTTGGTTAAACTTGTAGTTTATAGTTTCTTATGAAATCTTGCAATTATTCTTATGCTAAAGGCTATTCTATGAAACCAATACTGTTTCAAATATATATTTACTGCATTAATTTTTTTCTTTCCAGGTTTAGCTATTTGCCCCGCTATTTTGCAGCTTATACTTCTTCCAATATGCCCTGAATCACCGAGGTATCTTCTCATCACAAAACAATGGGAAGAAGAAGCAAGAAAAGGTTGAGTGTAAAATAATAATATAATTTTATTAGAACAATAATTTCTAAACAACTCTGGTACTCTGATGAGAAATAAAAATAAAAACTTAAACCATTCATAGATGATTTAACTTGGTTAAAAAAAAAACAGGAAGCGAGAGCACAGATAAGCAAATGAAAGGACCTCCCTTTTTTCCTAGTTAATAAAATGGTGTTAGATATCTTCACAGAAAAGGAGATGTATAGCACCAACAAGAACTACATGAAAAAATAGTTAAGAAAAACTGTGGGTGAGTAAAGATTCTGAAACAGTTTAAATATCTCGGAAAGTAGCTATAGGAAGCTGAAAAAAACAAAAACATTAAACTTTGTCTCTAAAACTATTTCCAACAAATGAAACCTTACCATTAAAGCCAAAATAATGCTCTACAGTACCTAATTCTATATGATATGGAATTCACAAATCTGAGTAAAATAGAAAAGCTTTTTAAAGAAGAATAATGGGAGGAATTTCCAGTCCAAGAAACTATAATAAATAAAAAAAAAAAGCAAGAAAACTAAGTAAAGATTGAGATCAAATAAAGAGATATGCAAGAAATTGAAATACCTGAAAATATCAATCAGGAAATGAGTGGCGAGATTATATATTGCTCAGAGTGTATCCAAGGCTGAAAAAACCAATTTTGAACTATTCGACCTGAAAAGCCAGAGGGAATAGGGGAATGGGTGGGGGACACTAAGTAGATGAAGGAAGGTTTTAGAAGGATTAGAATCACAGATGAAGATTGCCAAGAAAAACCATCTGATAAAAAGAATTTCTTTTATAAATATTCTTAGGGAAGAAAAGGGTTAGTGCTGGGAAATAGGATGAACAGAAAAAAGAAATGCACAACACTTTGAAAAAATGAAGGAAACAAAATTGATATCTGTGGGAGCCTTAAGTTTTGTTAATCTACAAGGATAAAAATAATAATAAGTAACAAAATAAATTTTATTTTTCTTAATTACTCAGTGAATTTAAATTTTTGTTATTGATTTATTATTATTGTATTGATATAATCTCTTGATTTTAGAAATAAGTTAGCATTCTTCATTTTTAGTTTAGCTGGGTCGGTAGGCCAGAAAGTTCAGTCAACGAGTGCTCAAAAAGGGGTATTGATGGCAATGGAAAAAAAAAAAAAACACAATTTTTTACTTTGGAACTTAGTTCGAATTAATTAGGAGACAAATATATGAAAAGTCCCCACTCCTAGGAGTGAGTCAATGGTGGTGAGGGAGCCTAGATCACTTTTTTTTTTTTTTGTAGCTTGTATTAGAAAAATGAAGCATCCTACTGATAAAGCCTTCCAAACAAAATTTAAGTTGATAAAATGCTCAACTATATTGATGATATTCATTTTTTTGTTATCTTGCATAGTTTCTGAGACGTCTTTACTCAATATTCGCTAATTTTGAAGAAGAAAAAATCCTCTCCTTTTTATTTTTGTTTGACCAACAACTTTGTCTCTTCATTGAACGAAAATATACATGAAAGAAAGTTGTTGTGCATTGAATTTTCTTCAAGAATATATATTATTTTACAATCTTATCTTCAATCCTTCATAAGTTAGAGCAAATATAATTGTATTTGTAATTTCCAAGATTTTCAGAAAACTTTTGTAGTTTTCATTATTTTACTGCTCTATGTACTTTGTATATATAAATTATTTGTAATGATTTATATATACCGTTGTTCACCGAACTCTATGTTATTACTAAGGCCCAGATCTGTAGATCTAAACTTGCCAAGAAATACATCATAAAAAAATTAAGAAATAGGTAGAATTCATAGAACAGAAAAGTATCTCATAGTACGTTATCGGATATTCAATAATAGGGAGGAATGTTTTTCGTTTACTTCAGAATGTAAACAAACAGAATTGTCCACATTATGTATTATTGTAGACTGTACAGTATTAACTTAAATCAAATTCAACATCTGTAAACAACCAATCTTTCTGTAAATCAGAAGAGGAAATTGATAATGTTCTCAGACTAAAAAATCAGGTGTTCCATTTTCGCTAATATTAATTAGTGATGCTTTCAAGACAAATATCCATATATTACGAGGGTTTTACTTTTTTTTTTCCATCAAATTGATATAATTAGATATTTAAGTGTAAAAACATACAGTCGCAGTAATAGAAATAGCATAATTTATTTGTTTTGATTCTTATGTTGACAACATTGATTCCATTGAATATTTTTGGTTTTGCTTACTTATTAAGGTTATCTAATGCCAGGATAAAAGCTGTTATTATGACCTGTATCAAAAACTGTCCTCATCAAATGACATTAAAATTGTGATATTACATGAAGTTAAGGAATTTTCATGGGAAATAGTAACGCAGTGTAAATAACCTTTCATTTTGTCGGGGGTCTTGGTTATTTACACTCGTGAATTTTAATTTTTAAAAACTAAAAAAAAAGGAGTAAATAGAGGCTATCTACAACAGAGGATACAGAGGGTACCAATCAAGGGTAGCAATATTAAAAAAAAAATGGTATCGTGGGATGACAGAAAAAAAACTGGGAGGAGAAAAAACAAACAAACAGTTTAACGGTGGTATTATTGTTAGAATATCATTCCATAACTGCCAAAGAAATATCTGAAGATCTTGCAGTAACAATCTGGTAAATAAAATAAAAATTTTAGTGGGTGATGCAATTTCTATAACTGCGACTGTACATAATAATTCATGAATATATTCAATTGAATCAAACTTAAAATGAAGACCCTCAGAAAATATCCTTTTTTGTCCGAAATTGAAAAAAAAAAAATTTGTTTGGTGGAAAATTGCAAAAAAAAAATTCCATTTTAGTGCAAATTGTAAAATAGATCAAAAAAGTGTACATTTGTAAAATCTTATGTATGTTCATAATTACGTTTTTGATCTGAAAGTGGATAGTTTTTCCTCTATCCAGCTTACTTAGCATAAAATTGGTAAATGAAATAAAAAAAAAGAAATTTCTACTTATAAAAAAAATTATAGAAGTAGGTATGAATTAGTAGAGAGAAGACAGTGAGGAATCAGTGGGAAAATGTTTTACCTCATAGTATCTCTCCCTCCTTCTTTTTTTTAAAAAACGACAAGAAGATACACCATCGTCTCATTGAGGCCTATTGTGCATCATCCTAAAACTCTATTTAAACAGGCCAGATGCTTTTGCAAACTTGTGAAGACTAATGGGATCTATCAATTCGTTTAGGGTCAGTGATACAATCACATCCAAAGTGAAAATATCGTAATCTGGCCAGGTGATCACATCTGCATATAATGCGATAGGGGGTCTCTAAGTCGCACAGCCTACAGGTGAGAGTTTCACTTAAGTCCAAGTTAAAGAGCTGCTTATTGAGTCAACAATGACCAGTATACAGCCCCTCACACACCTAATGTTGCTCCTGTCCATTAGAAGAAGTTGTAGTAGACATTCCCCTGTATTTACTCCTTAATATGACAATGTGTGAGGGAATGAGAAGGAATATATAATATATAGGAATGTGAGGTAGCACTGTGAATTGTACTCAATTGTGCAGTGGACAAATTGCTCATTGGAAAATCTCACATCGATAAAGAATCGAAAAGAAGAAAAGGTCCGATCAGGTAGCTGGCAACAGATGGCGAGGACGACGCCAAACACTTTAGGCCTGGACACCAACACAAGAAGACGTCATCTGGGAAGAGAGGCTTACTACATTGAAGACCTAGATTATCAACCCGACCGTTCACTTATATATATTCATTTATTATCAATTGTTAAAATAAATTTGTTTTGTTAGACAAGAGTGAATAGTCATTTTATTTAGTTGTCCTATAGGCCTCACGATTGAAGAATAAACCAGGTGAGTCAATTCATTCAGTGTTTACTAAATCCCACATTTCATATATGTATTCTTATTGTTTCTTCTCACACAGTGTCATAAAGGGTAATAGATCCCCGAATTCCCAATCACAGTTAAACACCCTCAAAAAGTCTATATCCAGTGCCGGGGTTTTGTTTTAATATTCAGGAGTGTAAATAACCTTAAGGCCCCGATATAAAAGCGGAAGGCTATGCGCCTATTCCCACCAAAACTAATCATTTAAAATTAACTCCCTGTAGGTTATTTACAAAGTGATACACTTCTCTTGTGGCAGGGTCCTTCTAGGAACAACTTAGAGTAAGTTTGTTTCCTAGTCTGTTCCCAATAGAGCTTAGTTTTGTTGCCAGTAACTGCCTTAATATGCCTTTTGGCACAGCTGAGGCAAATCTCACAGTTGGGCTCTGGTGCTACCAGCACTTGTGCAGAGTCCTTTCTAGCTTGGCGATCAGTTTTCTTATTGCCTGGAATACCTGAGTGCCCAGGCACCCATTCAATCCTCACCTTGTTGGTACTACAGAAAAAGTTCACATCACCTCTACACTCATCTATCAACTTGGAGCGTGTTGCGTAACTATTCGGGGCACCAAGTGCCTCTTGACTATCCATAAAAATATAAATCACTCTATTTGAAACTCCCAACCACATTAGGGATTGAGCACAGAAGTCAATAGCTAAAACCTCGGTTTGAAAGACTGACATATATCTACCTAGAGATATGAATATTCCCTCATCAGGTTTATTCTTTCTCCAGATGCCAGCCCCTGATCCTTGCTCCATCAAGGACCCGTCAGTATAAAAGTTAACTCCATTACATGGTCTGTGAGGGCTAGTCCCATGTCCCACTTTCTCCTGCCTATCATTTAACTATAGAGTATGTCTCTATATTCATCAACTTAAAGGTTTAAGTTCATTGTAAAAACCTCGTTGCTATCAATCAAACACGATCCCATGTCCCTGAAATGTCAAGAATATCTATCTCATTCGTAATTTATCCATTCTATAGGCAATTCTAAGAGCATGTACTTTAACCTCTATGTGCAATGTCATTAAGTTCGAGAGAACTTGCATTGCAGCAGTGGGAGTGGTGTCCATAGCTCCAGTAGTCATAATGTTTGGAGTTTTCCAAGCAACACTCTTGGCTTGCTTGCTGCAGCCCTTTTCCACCACACCACAGTCACATAGAGAATTAAGGGTCTAATCGCAGTTCTATATAGCCATATGGCCATAATGAGTTTCATCCCGCACGATTTGCCAACAACTCTTTTACACGTCCATAAATAGCGTTGAACCTTACTAATAATCCTTTCAATATGACTCAGCCAATTCAAATTACCATCCAGATTAATCCCAAGATGTTTTACTTCACTACAGATATTTAATAATGGCCCATTCAGGGACAGTAATCTAATATTGACATTTCTTCTGTTAATGAAGATGCAAAGATTTATTTTCTATGATTTTATGCCAAGCTCATTGTCCTGGTACCATTCTTTCAGAAGTTTCATTGTATTTACGAGCAGTCCTGAGATTGTACCCGAAAATTTGACCCCTATTAATACAGCAATATCTTAAGCATATCCCTGAGAATAAAACACTGCCTAGTTCAGTTTGGCAATCAGGGAGTTGACGACCAAGCACAACAAAAGTGGAGACATATCCGCCTATGGACAACCTCCAACAGGTTTAATCCACAGTACGTTTTGTCCTAATTTAAATTTAAGATCTCTTCTTCTCAGAATTGAATTAATCTATTCTAAAGTCAAGAGTCCAATCCCTCTCCTATCCAAAGCTCTTGACATTGTGTCATTGGAAGTATGATCAAAGGCACCTTAAATGTCGACAAAGATGCCTGCCATTATCTCTTTCTGCGACAAATTTTTCTCAATTCTATGTAACAAATAATGCAATGCAGTCTCAAAAGGTTTGCCGGCTTGATAGACGAATTCATCACAGTGTACCTTTCTTTTTGTTAACCTAGAATCCCTAATATGTCTATCCATAATCTTTTCTAGTACTTTTAACAGGAAAGAAGTCAGAGCTATAGGTCTGTATGTTTTGGGGTTGTCATAAGTAGCTTTCCAAGGCATAGGTATGTAACAAACTCTTACCACCTTCCTTCTATTAGGGATATATGCAAGTGCTAAACTTCTACTGAATAAGTAGGTAGCGTTAAATTACAGGTAGGCCTTTTTGCAAAATCCCATAAATAACAGATGATTTGAATGGAGCAAATGAACTAATTGCCCATTCAACTCTCCAAGTACTTAATATCCTATTCGCCATTACCGCTTATCTTTGCCACAAGTGTTCATAGCGGGATTAGCAATATACTCATCTAACATTTGGCAGCCAGGCAAGTGTACTCATGCAAGAGTCTCCAGTCTTCTCCCCAGAATAGACGAGGCCTCCTTCAACTCTGGACTTGGACGAAGTATCATTTACATCGCTACAAAAGCTTCTCCATGTCCCACTTTTTGCCCTGTATATGGTCTTATTGTACTGAGTGAGAATGCACTTGTAGGTGTGCCATCTGCCCATTCTTTTGGCAACATTGAAGAGTTTTCTAGCTTGCCAAGTTGTACATCATTGTTGAGAGCCAGCTTCTGGAGGATCACCCTCCACCAGGGCCAGAGTGGGACATCTGTCCCGGTTTCATTTTCCCCTGGTACTGAGACCTCCCTCCTCTCACCCCCTCTCTCTCCCAGCACCCACCAGAGATAGGCCTTCCCCATCTGGGGCGGGGTGGCCGAATGGGCTAAAGCGTGTGCACAGCACCGCGAGTTGCCTGGCAATCGGATGATAGATTTGAGAAGATTTAAAAAGTACGAGTTCGGGTCCCAAAAAAAAAAAAAGGCCCTCCCCAGCTGGCCCAGACACTGCCTCAATTCCCAGGAGTGGAAGCTGAAGTTTCCCCTTCCTCTTCTACCGGGGGGAACTTTTGAAGCAGTACCAACCTTTGTGGTCTGCACCTTAGGTTTGGGCAGCTTCTTCTTCTCAAACACCTTGAGTGCAACCTTGGCGATGCAATACACACTATCATATTCTTTCCCTCAATGTGTTTAATACTAGTTTGGGGGATCCGAAGGATTCCGTATAATCCATTCTTCCTTGCCTCGGTTCCCAACACCTGCCAACTATCAAGGTCTGCGACCCTGCCATTTTGAATCCGGTAAGAGTAGGTCTTCCAGAATCTTCTCTCCACGGAAATATGCCCCTACTCTGATAGTATTTTTGAGCTTCTCAACATTGGCAGAGCTCTTAGTGAAGCTCTTAATTACACTGGAGATCCAGTCCTTGGTGGCCTGATCATCACAAAGAATATAAGTCTCCCCCAAGATGGTGACTAAAGCCACTAATCTTAGTGATGATGGCACTCTTCCCCTCTACTCACCAGCAAATTAATCTTGGACAGACTCTACAATAAATTGTCTACTACAAATACTGTAAAAAATGTTGTTTTGATCAGTAGGTTTTAAATATTTTTCCAGGATAGTTATCTCTATTATTAACCAATCAATTAAATCTTGGATCGGTTATTGATACAGTTATTGCATATCTAAATTCGCTCTACAAAGCTGTAGATGCAAGGTGATTCTGAAGTGAACGATTATTACATTGTACATAAATTATATCAAGTAATAGCAGCAATCAATTGTTATATTAATATTCATTAATTCATAAACCATATTAATAATTAAAAAGTTCATGGAATTGTTTCAGCCCTTAGAAGATTACGAGCTTCAAACCAGGTAGAAGAAGATATAGAGGAGATGAGAGCGGAACAGCGAGCGCAGCAAAGTGAATCAACTATCTCCATTTCAGAACTTATCTGCTCACCTACCCTTCGTGCCCCTCTCATTATCAGCGTAGTTATGCAACTTTCCCAACAACTTTCAGGCATCAATGCAGTAAATATCATAAATTAATAAACTTTTATGAAATTGTGATTACATTTTATTCATTCTGCTTAATATTTCAATTTTTTCAAAAAGCAACAACATATAAACCCCCCTTCCATCATGTAGGCCAGTGGCCCCCTAACTATGGTCTGCGGGCCAGATCTGGGCTGCAAGATCCTCAACATCCATCCTCCAACAGTTTATTTGAATATATGATAAAATTAAAAAAATAATAATAACAAACAACTTTGATATTGGATAAATTATTCAAACACCAAGTAATTACAACATTATTGCCTGACTTGTTTCTCTTAGAAAGCTCACTTCACAATTTAAGTGTCATTTATAGAACAAGTTTTTTTTTCATTGCAAGCCATGGCCTGCGGAACTTAGTGAAGATCTCAATGAGGCCTGTAGGGCTTAGTGAACATCTCAATGTGGTCCACAGGCCAATAAGTTTGGATACCTCTGATCTAAGTCACAAGTTTACAAATTAAGGCGATACCTTTTTAACATTTACTTTACATTCCCAAATTTTAAATTTTATTCAAATAACTCATTCAATAAAAAAACTACATAAAGTGTCTACGATTTAGGTGAGATCCACAAAAAAAAAAGTTCAAGAAAAAATCAATGGGCTACACAAGTTTAAGAACCCCTGACCTAGATTTTCTTTGAATGCATTATTGCTATAATTTTTTTTTTTTAATATTTCTCTTAGTTTTTTTAAAATGATTTTCTCTTAGTAGAACTTTATTTATTTATATGTATTATATTGTACCCTAGAATTAAAAAAAAAAATTAATTTCCTTGGCTTCTAAGTTAGGTTAGTGATTAAAATTCTGAGAAGTATTTCGCCAAATCTATCTCCATTAAAATTTATTTACAATAACTTTGATATAAGTATGATAAAAAGTGATTAATTTGTCCTATTAATAGTTGTTAGTAGAATAATATTTAATTTTTAACATGTATGATCTTTCAGGTATTTTACTATTCAACTGGGTTATTTGTAACCTCTGGCCTTTCAGAAGAGACTGCCAAAGATATGACGATAGGTATCGGAGCAATCATGGTCATCATGACCCTTGTCACTATCCCCTTAATGGATCGAATGGGTCGCAGGACGCTTCATCTTTATGGCTTAGGCGGAATGTTCATTTTCTCCATTTTTATCACTATTTCATTTTTAATCAAAGTATGTATAATGAAACTATATATTCTAACTTCTAATTTTCTTTTATTTATCTGTTATTATATTTCACAATTGAACATAATGGCCTACGCCAAAGCCCATTATGGATCATGTGGAATTAATATTCTTTCCAACAATAAAATGGATTTCTATAAAAATATTGGATTATTCAGCCTTAGGAAAATATCTATAGAAGAAAGTGTAATTTAGAAAAAAACAAAATATCAGTTGATATTTATAGGTAAAAGCAATCTTCAACAAATATAATTGAAGTATTATTATTTCATTTATACTAGTTGTTCTGTACGTAGAGAGAAATATTTAAAGAGGTGCTAGCAAACCTGATGAGCTACAAAAAACGTTTATATAAACAATAGTCCCATTTTATCCAGAAAAGTAGGAAATTTTAGTTTTATGTTTTTTTAAGTCGCATTTTTTGATGAATAGGAGGCGACAAATAATAAAATATTGAACTACGATAAACTAGACAAACTTTAATTCAAATGAAAGTAGAGTTTGCTATTGTTTAAACTATTTTTAAGAGGACTTTTGAGCTAATAAACTAAGTTCTGTTTTAATAAAAATTATGAATTATTAGCTTTTTTTTTTTTTTGTATCGTCCTCCAAATATACTACAGATCAGCAGGTTTTATTTTAAACAAATATATTAGAATGTGAAGAAGATCAAATGACACTGTGAACAAATTAAGGAAGAATTAGTAAGACTTGGGAAAAAAGAAGATGAATACCAAGATAGGGATAAATTGAGGGGAACAATAAATAAGATGAAGGTTCTTGGAGAAGAAAAGAGGGGAAAGGAAGGAAAAAATGAACAGAAGTAGAGAACACTTTTAGAAACACTTCCTTGTTTTATAAACTTTAAGTATATATTAATTAAAGTGCAGGTTTATTAAGAAATAAGTTGAGATTCACCTCAAGTTGTGTAAAAAATAAGATGATTTAATATTTTATCACCGAAAAGTAATCATGCTTTCAACAAAAATGACTATAATACATTATTGCAAAGTTTTAATTTCTTCTTTTTTCCATAATCTGGGATGTAGTATTAGTTCACATAACTGCATAAACACATTTTGTTTTACAAAAAAAAATGATTTTTCTAATATTTATCAACTAAAGTGGTTATAAAAATGTGGTTTTTACCTAGATTTCTTTTTTTTTTTTTTTTTTAGATTAAGGATCGCACATATATTATTGTTTCTTGGCTTTCTTTTAGTCTAAACTTTTTTCATTTTTTTTACTCATTTCCTTTTTCTGTTCTTCTGTTCATTTTTTCCTTCCTTTCCCCTCTTTTCTACTCCAAGAACTTTCATCTTATTTATTGTTCCCCTCAATTTATCCCTATCTTGGTATTCATCTTCTTTTTTCCCAAGTCTTACTAATTCTTCCTTAATTTGTTCAGAGTATCATTTGATCTTCTTCACATTCTAATATATTTGTTTAAAATAAAACCTGCTGTTTGTTTGAATTATTTTCATGAAAACGTAAATATTAAGATTACCTAGGAACATTTAGTTGGTCAGTTATAAATCAATTTCTATAGTGTCTTTCAGTCTTCTTTTATTAGGATTGGTAAAGTTTCACTTGAAATATTCTCTTTATTGCTGAATTGCACTTCAATTAATCATCTTGGGATCGACCTGTTGACTAGAAAAATATCAGCTGGTACTGATATTCCGAAGACCAATATTTCAGCCTTTCGGGTTTATTTTATTGGGATTGGTAAAGTTTCACTTGGAATATAATCTTTATTGCTGAATAGACATTTCAATCAATCATCTTGGAATCTACCTTTATAAATAAAAGAGCTGATACTGATATTTCAAAGACCAATGTTGGACTTTCGGCTTTATTTTATCGTGATTGTTAAAGTTTCACTTGGAATATTTCCCTTGTTGTTGAATGAACATATCAATTGATCTTTTAGAGGTTGATGGATAGAGAAATTTCAATAGATACTAAAAGTTCCATGACCAATATATCGGCCTATTGGTCATTTTTTTCCATTGTGGTTCATACTATTCAGCTTGGAAATATTCTTATTGCTGAACAATAGTTTCAATCAATCATCTAGGAATTGACTTATTGGCTTATAGGTTCAAAAGAAGGAAATTAATAACTACTTTTATTGATTTCAAGAGGGCCTTCGACTCGGTGAAACATGAGCAGCTGTGGCAAAGGCTCTATAGGATATAAGGTTAAGAGGAAAAATCCTGAAACTTATCAGAAATCTGAACAATAGTGTGTCATTTATCATTACCAATGGCAATAATTCATCAAAAGATGTTTCTATCACTGAAGGGGTCCTGAATGATGCCATTTTGAGCCCGCTTCTGTTGCTCCTCTATATAGCCGATATTTCAGACTTATCATAATGGAAGTTAGAAGCATTGAATTTTTTTATTTGATATCATTGATATTTATGATGTATGCAGATGATCTAGTGATACTGTCGGCTCTGCACATAGTTCACGCGTCCGCTAGACTGCGTCACCACTAGACGCTCATATCAGAAGATGATTTTTATATTTTATTTTTTGTATGTATAACTTTTTAAAATGTATATTTTTTTTATTGTAAAACATATATTGTAGAGGTATGTTTATTTTACTAAATAAAGATGAGGTATTTAAATCAACTAATCAAAAAATAAGAGCAGAATAGGGTACGACTCTCGTTATCCATCTTTTCCACGAGAGAATGAACTCCTCCTAGCCCTCTGGTTTTGGATTTATGATACCCACTTATCCAGTATATGATATGTATACATACTCTTTTTAGTTCTACATCAAACCGCCTTTATTATTATGATATTCCTATAATCTTTATCCTATTATCTATCTCCATATAAGGTCTGGATGCTGATCTATCTTCTTGTATTCCTACATACTAAGTCAGAAGATTGGAGATCCCTCTGTTAGTATTTCAACTTCCCATAAAGTCTGGAGATTGAATCCTCCGTTTGCGGTTACAGTCCCTGCAGAATGTTAGGATTGATCCCTTACACCCCAGACCAAGAGTGATTTGATTGCTGATCCCCCTGACACTTTAGGTCATCCTTCTAATCATCTTCCTTCATCCACTTACCCCCAAATTAAACAACGCTCTGTCACTTCTGGTAACTGTATTAGCTGTACAATACCTTGACAAAGGAAAAAGAAAGAAAAACAAAAAAAGAATCTTCACCTGCTTAATTTACAATAAAATAAAAGAAATCTCTCCTTGACTTACAAATATAAATATATATGTAAAATAAACATTTTCATAGACTAGGTCATTATACAAAAAGAAAATAAATCTATTATATCTAAATAGTAGAAAATCTAGTAATATGTTTCCAATTAGTTTTATATCTGCTGGCTAGGTGGATTAGTCATAAAACTTAGAGAACAGGGAGTTTTGTTATCATGTCCTCCCTAAATACTGCCCTCAAGCTGTGATTTGCTCCCTTATTTCCTTTTGGATAACTGCTAGCTTCCTTCCTTAAGACATTGGGACATCGGGCGTCAAGTTCATGGCTGATTTCTCTTGGAAGTCTATTTCCTCTCACCTTCCCTCAAGAACTGCTAGCATATTAACCTGGTAAGCATCCCCCACTCTACCTCTTCTTTTATAGTAAATAATTTAAATTTACAGCTGTAACTAGAGATTTATGTAGTATGTTTGGAAGAAGATAAAAAAATTTTAAAAATTGCGAATAATTCACCATTCCTTTAAAAACAGAAATTAGTTTAGTTTATCTGCTCAAAAGTCGCTCTTTAAAAGGTTTTAACAAGAGCAAACTCTATTTTGATTTGAAGTAAATTTTATCTAGTGTATTGTAAAGCAATAATTAATTACTTAAATTCAATATTTTTAATCGCTTCCTGCTCAACAAAAAAGTGACACTTTAAAAACTATTGTTTATATTTACTTTTTCTTTGCTCTGCTATCATCCCTTCAAATATTTCCCTCTACTTACGGGAGACACTTTATTATTTAATTTTAATTCAATTATCTTTTGAACTATTTATTTTTTTTACATTTTTAAACTTAATAAGCAGGAGTGATGTACATCAGTAAATAACAGACTAAAACTCCTAACTCATGAGCCCAAATGTGAACTTGGCCGTAACCAAAAATTTATTTTCTGTTTATTTAGGCATGGATCTATTCTTGGTTCAGGAAACTCTACTGTGGCCTATCTAGATTCATTAAAGTGTGTGTCTAACCCTTCAAAGGGTCAAGAGAAAATCTTGGCACTTATAAATGATTCTGGCCAAATCACTGTTTTCCCCAAGAATCATCCATATTTTCTAAAATAGAAGTTATGAATTTATATCTGAATTCAAATTTAAATTCCTTGTTCATTAAATGTTTAAGCAAACACTAATTTATCATATTTTATAAAAAATTGACTTACAGTCTCTCAAACGCATTTATATTAAGCTACTTCAATACTTCATTATTAAATTTATGATATAGTAAATGTTTAAGTAAATATCATTATTTTAAATTTAGTTTACTTAATTTTAGAAGATAAATTACATGCCGTATTCATAGCCATCATTCAAGGATAGTCTATATTCAAGGATACATGAAACTTTTACTTTCTGCCACACTTGAAAATGGTTTCCACTGATATATATATATATATATATATATATATATATATATATATATATATATATAAATATATATATATATTCATTGGAACTTCCTAAAACTGGATCGTTAGTAATGGAAATTTTATCTGCTTAATAGAAGTGTCCATTTTTTAATTATCGTGAAGAATAAAAGTTACAAATGGGAAAAACTACTTTTATATATTAGAAAGTATTTAAAATATGTGTAAATATCATATTTAGATACTTTTAATACCCCTGTTGCATCACAAATTAGCTTTGCAATGATTATAGTCCAAACTATGATGTCAGAATGTTATTGGTTCTAGATTGAAAAACCCATTCTATAATTTTTACAGTACCAATTTCTATTTTTAT